CTCTGACAGGACAAAAAAATAAAAGGATACAAAGGAAAGATCATTTTGTATTTATATATACAAAATAGGATAAATTTACAGCTACTTTCGCTTAATTTAATGAGAAGAAAGAGGTATACTGACAGTGTTTGGACAGAATATCCTGTCTGCTTATACTATGGATAACCACTAAGAAGATAACAATGTACAGTGTATTGATTATCAAAACTGTCCTATTAATCAGCTGTGAAACTGTCTCATTCATATTTATTTCTCAATGAAAAATAAATATAAAAAAATAAACATCCTAATGTATAAGCCAATCTGTATGTGTAATATATGAGAAAGAAGCTATCCTTACCTTTGTTTTTCCCTGAAAAGCAGAACAAAAGAAAATGTTTATTATAATAAACTCTTTCCATCTGCCCCTCTTGTAATGTGACTTTCGTAAAAACAAGACATTCCTAAAGGTGAGTCATTTCCGTGTTAGCCCACCGCGCAAGTCTGCACGTGAGACACTCAGGACTGTGATCCACCAGTGGTGACAGAGTCCTGCCCGGCCGGCTGGCTGACATCTCTGAGGGGATCCCCAGGAGGGTCCGCTCGCCAAAAGGAAGCGATCTAGTGGGCACTGAGAGGACGCTTGGGTGTCCTAAGGACTTAAGTTTAGTTGGCTGCCAGACTTTTTCCAGTTATTATCCTAATGTGACAACATTACTGCTTTGAAATTGTCAGACCAACATTATAAGATTTAACCTTAGGAATATTTTCAGATGATAAAATGTGAAATATATATTGCAGTAATTTGTGTGTAGCTGCTTATTTATGATTGAAAAAGTATCTTCATCTTTTCACTTTTTAATGCCATCATGGATTATTAAATATATATTTACTACAAATATATATTTGTAAAAAAGATAAAAAGTTATTACTCCAAGATAAGCACCATTTACATTCTGTTACATGCCCTTTTTTTGGTGTGTGTATAGATATTTAGAGGCTGTATTAATAATGTTCTTATAAGGGCTGGCCTGATAGCTCAGTGGACTAAAGCGCCTGCTGCAGCAGAGCGCAGCGGCCGGGGCTGGGTCTGCAATGTGCCGTGCTGGCCCCGCCCCAGGGCACACTGAGACTGATGGAGACTGGGCACGGTGGCGCACGCCCGTAATCCCAGCGCTTGGAAGGCTGAAAACAGGAGGATCACTGAGTCCACCCTCTGCTGTGAGACCCTGTAGAGCCTGTATTAAAGGCAAACAAATAATAATAATAATGTCCTTATACAAGTATATCATACACACATTTTGATTCTGCCTTCTGTGCTTCAGTGTGCTGAGTGCTGTTAATCTTTTTTTTTATTTGAAGGAATACAAATTTATGGCAACCTTTGTTTTTTGTTTTTTTTTAATTATTTATTTATTTTTATTACATTTATTTATTGTGTGTGTGTGTGGCCAGCTCAGCCCACCAGGGGGCAGGGCTGGCTGGCATGTGGTGCTGGGGGATTGAACCGCGG